CCTTGTCATGTTTACTTAGAGCCCATCTCACTGGTTCGAGCTCTTAGGACGGCATTCTACCCCACCTTTCATGATCTGACTCCTGTCTATCCCACCAGCCTCATGTCCAAGGACAACCACAAATATACCAACTAATCGCAGTTCCCAGGAAATAACCTACTCTAATACCTCCACGCTCTTACATGGAGTGTCACTCTTCCCCTTTGCTGGACATCCTGACAGGCTTCAATATTCAGCTTACACAGTATTTGCTTTGGTCTCTCATTCTGAGTTTGGAGCCCTCCTCAGTGCTTGCATCATCCCCGTGCACACCTCTGCCATACAGTTTATATATCTACTTATATATGCACCTGTATCGTGCTATATTATCAGTTAGTTTGCATATCTAGCACCCCCGCCAGGCTTTGAGCTCTTCTAAGTACACAGTACCTGCTCTGAAAGAGCATAGCCTCCTGACAAGGACAGACATGACAGGTGTACGCAGTATTAAAAGAATGGAGGAAAAAAAGAACAGAGAAGGACTTTCTCTGCAGACAGGCGAGAGTAGGAAAAATGTCAGGAAAGACAAGAGGAAATGTGAGCTGCATCTTAAAGGATGCTTAGGAATTCACCATGTGGTTGCTGTGAAGGGCCTTTCATTCAAGACACACAGCACAAGCAAAGCCAGAAAAGCATGAGGCAGGACAGGGTCTGGCAACGCAAAGGCAGTCCACCGTGACTACGACCACATAGCAAAAAAGCATCCTTCTAAGACAAGGCCATCACCAGATTGAAGAGCCCTGTACATAAAGAATCAAGATTCCGTCCATTACTGCAAACAATCAATGGACTAGAAGCAGCAGACGACAATCACGTTGCACTTTATGTGTTTTCAAGCATGTAAATTGATTTCTTTTAAGAACCTTAATCAAGAGTTAAGATCTATGGCATGCAATAAGGTCATAAGACAGGCAGACAAATTAAATATATTCACTTTCCCAGTGAACTGTTTTTCCTAAAACCACAATCGGCTTGTTAGGATTACATCCTGTTCATACTTCTTATGCCTTTGATATAGAAGTGCCCAGTCCTTCCACCTTCAAAGTACTGACTGAGTAAGACGAGCCGGCACTGAAGAAGCTAAGGGCGTGTAAGGCCCAGGCCCCAGCTTCACAGAGCTCACAGACTAGCAGAACAAACAACACAGGGCCACCAATAACCACACTGCAGGGCAGGATGGGACGAGCTCTATGCCAGTGTAACAACCAAGTACAGAGAATGAAGAGGACATGTCCTGCCCCTGAGGTCAGGAGGGCGTGGAGGAGCAGGTGGCATCGGAGCCAGGGCTGATTCTCAGGATGTTCAGCTAAGAAAGAGTACAAACTCCAAACACAAGTGTGGTCATTCGTTCCTAACAAGGATTCACTTTTAGTTGAATATTGCTCGGAATTAGGAGAGTGATGTGAAACAGGAAAAGCCAACCAAAAGGGGAAAAAGCCTAGAATGTTTATAGAGTGATTTTTTTTTTCAGCCCTTGATAGAAACAAATGTTGAATTACTCATTTCTTTTGACTAGAGGCCAAAATGTTCAACCGGAAAGAAATTTTTTTCAAGAGCTGAAAACTATCAGATAACATTTCAGCTGACACACACTGTTTTACCTCTTCCATATACTCCTTTTACTGCTTAATGCTGATCCTCTCTGGTGGTGGTTGTGAGGATTATCATGTTGACCCAAGGAGGCGGAGGGGAAGGAGGGTGTGAGCAGACAGTGGTGGAGAGATCACCAAATCCCAGCCTGTGCCCGCTCACTCAGACCTCACCCCTGAGCTCCAGACCCCAGAATCCAAGCACGTATCACACCTTTCCACTTCAAGGTCTCATAAGCACGTCACACATACCACATCTAACACCGAAGCCGTCGCCTGCACTTTCTCCACGTTCTCTAGCTGCCAAATAACACACCACAAACTTGGGCGTCACCCTTGATTGCATCTGCCTCACAGCCACCACCATCGCCTGCCACCACTTTACTGAATGTGAATTAATATGAGCCAGTTCCTGAGCTAGGGGTTTGCCTTTTCTCATTTGACCCTGATAAAAACCCCACGAGGTAGGGCTGTTGTCTATATTTTACTGCTCAGGAAGGTTAGGTAAGTTTCTCAAAGACACAGTTCATGGCTGCAGCCAGGTCTGTCTCCGAAGCCTGCACTCCCCACCACTGTCCTAAGGCATGCCTCGCCCTCCTTTCTTTTTCGTATTTTTCAAATCCCCATTCTTCTCTGTTCCCACCAGTCCTGCTTAAGACAAAACCTAATTTTTCACCAGGTTTACTGTAACAGCCTCTAGCCCTGAGCCTCAACTATCTAGGAAAATGTTCAGAAATTGGCCCCAGAACCTCAAATGCGTACAGGCCTCTGGCATTTGCCCAAAGTGAGCCCCATGGTAACATGGAATACATGCTTCTTCCACACAGGGTAGCTGCCAAGCAACTCCAGCCCTTGTGGCTCCTTGTGGCAATGCAGAGATTTTTCAACAAACCCTGGGCCTGACATCCATGTCTCATGAAACACTGACAACTATTCAAAAAATGTTGAAACACCCTATGAATGAAATCAAGTTCACCTCTATGCTAGATCTGACCCATTGGCACCAGCTTATCACCTCTGAAATATAGACTCAATTATGTAATTTCCCTACTTAAAATCTATACAGTGTTCCTCTGCAACTTTGGGATAAAGGTTAATCTATTTACTATGACATCAAAGGCCTTCCATGAGTTAGCCCACGCCAACCTCTCCTCTGGCGTCACTCATCAGGTGCCCTCCACAGAGACCCCAAGGCCAGATTAAGGTTCTGACATTTCCTGGAATATGCCCTCATTCTGGCTTCTGAAGTATTAACGCATTTTTCTGTCTGGTAGGGTGCCCTTCACTTGACTTACTTATCCCCCAGGATTTAGCTGGGCACGAGTCCATCACTCTTGAGGGATACTGTCTGCTGAGATATGCCCTCACAGTATCCTACCTCAAAACATGCCTGTCTCAAAACTCACCTGTCATCCAGTAATAGTGGCTTCATCTGCTGGCCTTCAACACTGACAGTGACGGACATAAATGCCTGTAGCTTCCTCTTACTGACAGGTCTGCAGTGGTTGGCCCAGGGTCAGACAGGTAATAGCCCTCAGTATGTATCTATTGAATGAATGAGCCAACTGAACACTACTGAGTCCGTGAAATCTTCCTTGATCCCCTCACATAGGAAGTAATTCTTCCTCTAAACAACCTCAACTCTTTTCCCCTAACTCTTGCCTATTTTAGAATCCTGGAAGGAATAAGAGACAACAACCATCTTACCAAATCAGCTCCTGGCAAGCAAGAGTCCATATTCTACAAACATTTGTATTCCTCCCAGCACCTAACTAGCTCCTTGCCTCTAGTAAGCTCTCAAATGTGTGTCAAGTAAATCACTAACTCTAAACGTAGTTGCACAATTCAAGTCTCATTCTTTCCAGTTCCTTTTCCTTGCATTAAGTAACCAAAACCATACTTCATTCTGATGTCTGCAAATGGATGTTATCAAAGCAGTGGAAAAGGACTGGTTCAGAAGTACAGTTAACCACTGGCAGTTTTTATTTTAGAAATGAATAACTCGAGAAATTTTCTACTACTTCCAATGGATTATTTCCAAACAATGGGCATGGTAAATAAAATGTATTTTACAATATACTGTATACCATGGATGCTATGATGGACCCCAGTAAAAGAGTGTTCCGAAGTTCATTTGTAGTGTGGAGGGCATAGCTCAAGCCGTAGAGCACATGCTTAGCATGCACGAGGCCCTGGGTTCGATCCCCATCAGCTCCTCTAAAAACAAATTAAACCTAAGTACCGCCCCCACCCCCACCAAAATAATAAAATAATAAATAAATATTTTAAAAACTTCATTTATATTCTTTATATTGACCTTGCAACAATGATAGCAAACATTTATCAAGAATTGTTCTGCACAAGGCACTCCCTCCCCTTACGGCAACAGTCTTGTCCAGTAGGTTTAAAGATTTGGAAATTGTGGCTCAGAAAAGTTAAATAAAATATCTAGCATGTTATAGTTGGTGAATCACAGGAACAGGTTCTCAAACCTCATTTGCTGGTGACAAAGCCCACATTATACTCTTTGTTCAGTGCTGCCTCCTTGACCTCGGCCATAGCTCTGCTAGTTCATCCTGTAGCTGATAGTAAATATAAGGTACATATGCTTTGATATTTTTAAGTGTCCCTGAACAAAGAAATTCCTTAACTTTTATTTCTGGAACTATCAATTTTGTTCCCAAATGTTTTTATTAAAATCTACCCTTAAAAACATTTTCTGTGACATGTGATAGTATCCCCCATGTATCAGTTTAAAGTGCGTGGTCTTCCTGGTACCAGTGTAAATAGAATTTCATATATTTCACCACAAATTTCCACTACAGTATCATAAGGGTGATTTGTCAGGTGACATTGTCCCAAAATATTTAAAATGAGAAATCCTTCATGTACCAAAACAGTAGCACGGATATTCATAGGTGCTATTAGAACATCTTACATACTTTATACAATAAAAATATTTCTTACCTGATTTTTTCCATGGAGAATTAATGAATATGAGATACAACTCCCTCAGGTTAATGATAGCATGGTGTTAGTAATTTCATTTGGTGGACTTTTTTTTTTATCTGCTTCTTTAAGTATTAACAATATAAACTGTCCTTTAGGTTAGAATGGAGGTCAATTTATTAGATTCATAAAACAGGAGAAAGGAATTATAAACTGAAAGGAAAAAGTTTAATGTAGTAACTGAAATAAAATTATGAACAGGATAAACACATCTCTAAGGAATATAGTTTTCTCCCCAAAAAGCAACTCAAAAGCAGCACTAACATTAAGTTTTATTAATAACTTTGTGAAGTAATTATTTAGAAGTATGCTTTTCAAGATGTGGATTAGCCAAAATTATTTCAAAAAATATGTTCATCTAACCTTTGAGCTGGCACCTTATTCTGGCTATTCTCTGCCTTAAGACGTAGAAAGCTGCAAAACAAATGTCCAAAAAAAGAAATTCCAGATCTTTTCTCTGTAAGGAGGCTGGACTTGGGTATTTATCAACTTGTTACATTCCCGGAGACTTACACATATGCAACTTTCAGTGCTTTTCTGAAACAAAAAAAAAAATCTAGGACATGTTTAAAATAGTAATATTTTAGTCACCATTCTGTCATTAAAAAACATTTTGTAACAAAAATATTACCCAATAATTGAAGTTGTGCTATTCTTTCACAGTTCAAATTCTAAATTAAAATATTCCAGACCTTTTGTGACACTGTACCTTCCAATCCAATTTTTCATTTTCAGAGTATTAATTTTTGGTTCCAAGAGACAGTATCCTTTTATTTAAATGAGTGTTGGACAAAATATCTGAAAAAAATTAAAACTTTTGATCAATTAGTAACCAAGGCTGGTAGTTTTTAAATTGAGAGAGCTTTACTTACCTGTTTCTTACATACTGTGTGTTCCCTTTTCTCTCCAACTTTGGGGAGGAAATATTAAGGTTTTTCTTTCCTTCCACAGCACTTTCTTCTTGCATGGCTGCTTTGGTTGTCAATAGCAACAAGAATTAGTGCGAAAGCTCAGCCATTTCACTTTAAGATACATAGATCACCCAGTTTTATGAAAGTAAATGGAAGAAACTTGAAACACATACTAATAATGGTCAGGGATTGACCAGCCTAGAGATTCTAGAAGTAAGGGGAGAGATGATTTTATTCCTTCTTTTCTGGTAATGCTTTTCCTTTACAAAGCATAAAATATTCACTTTAACTTTCCAGTTGTGTATTTGTTTGTATAATTTAAAATTAGGTGAATGAAGCCTCCTTTTCAGTAATATCAGAAGAAAAAATCCTAAGGCCAATTTGATTTAATTAAAGTAATAATTTAACTATTGATCCAGAATGACCGCTCTGTATTTTTAAAAGCATACATTTTACATTTGCTTGTTAGAGTTTTTTTTTCATGTTGGCTAGATTTAAAACAAATTGGTGTTTTGTTTTTATTGTTGCTGTTGCTAACTTTAAAAGAACTCACCATATCTTGATGTTGACACATTTCTTAAAATAATGAAATATATCAGGCACAATCTAAGCAAAAAGCTGAAAACAAAGCATAAATTGCAAATTATATTCTGGATCACATATGAAAGAAAACTGTTTATGACTAGGGTTATGTGTGAATAGGGGAAAATATAAAAGGATACCGTTTCTTTAATACTCTAAAATGCCAATTTTGAATAATCTAGTTTAAGAAAAATATATTAAATAAAGGTAAAAGAAGTCAATAAAGAATAGCAAACATCATTATTTTCTAACTAGTTATATTAGTACCAAGCAGGCAAACAGTTCTGTATAGTCTTTGTCTCATAATATCTTAAAGTTGGGTCACATTTCTCTTCCTTAACATAAATCAGCCTTGCCACACATAGATTTAGAAAATTTTAAGGTATCAATATTTATATCCATTAAATAAGACTTCTAGCATGAAATTTTAGCCAATGTCCCATATTCTAAAATTTGCATTTTAAAACTATACAAAACTGCATTTTAAATCAAAGCAATGTTAAACCTGGAATAGATTATCTCCACAAAGTTTTGGAGGTCTAGTCTTTGTTGACACATAAGGAAATTTTCACATCACTACAATTTTTGTGAAAGTTGCCGAAAATAAATGCCCTACATGTATTTTTTTCTGGTATAAACCCCACTGTGGAGAGCACTAAAATTGGTTTCATTAGTAGTACATAATACAGAAAAATCAGCCCCATTTTCTCCTGATGATCTGTTTCCCTGCAGCCATTGTACAACAGCCACAGTGGTTAGCATGGGCAAGCCTGTCAACAAAGTTCACAGCTGTAGGACTCTCTCCTATGGCTCGCCCGCCCCCGACCACGCTTCAGCTCATGTGAGGGCTCTCAGTGACCCTCTGCCCTTTCCTAGGGTTCTCAGTGATCTCAGGCATGGCTAAAGATCTGAAGATTTTATAAAATTGTAACTAACACAAACTAGAGAAACTAAACTACTCCGGGATGACTAAACACAGGTTTACAGATCTGGAGTCAATCCTGGGCTTTGGACAGTGTTAAGGAAAATGAGGGATAAGAAACCCAGAAATTGAGCCCCTTCATTATCTGAAGGTACCCCTATCTTCTAATGTATTGTTCAATTTACTGTAATGCATTATAAAATGCTCAAATATTAGGCAAGCACAACCTTTGAAAAGGAAATAATAAAACGCTTCAGACTAAGATGACTGATGCAGTTACTATACAATCCAGACGGGAGTCGCACAGCCTCTTAAGCGTAGTGCACGCCCCTCCATACAGGTAACAAACGCCAGGTATGCAGATGGAAGGGAAGGGTCCTCCTTGTCACTGTACTTCCACCTCCCAACCCTAATCTCCAACTGGAAAAAGTAGTAACTCCAAGAAGTTCCCCACACCCTAACCCTAAATTTCATGTGATTCTCATTGTCAAAAAATTTAATATTAGCCTGGCAAACTCTATTCATAGACAACTCTCCAACGCTGAACATTTATAACACCAACACCCAGGATAACAGATCTCATGAATAGCATTCTGAGTCAGAAGCTGGATGATTCTAACGTTCAGTTCATTATTTTCTAAGTATTAAAGCTATAGAATTCATCAGACAGCAACACAAGATTAGAGAACAGGACATTTAGCAAATCTACAAATCATTTCTTCATAATTTTGTATTTCCTTCCCCAAATTTATATGTTTCAAAAGCAATTCTGCCTTAATTAGGAAATAAAACTATACAGGGGAATATCTTAATTCTTGACCATACACAGACACCAAGATGCAATGAACTTTTTAATTCATCAATGATTTAAAAACTCAATTCAAGGGACAAAGGACTTGCAACCACCATTATATAAATATTTCATGGTATTTCACAAAGAAAATCAGACGAACTTGGGACAATTTATCCAGTAGGAAATTTAGCCATAGTAAGTTACATAAAAGCCAACTCTAAATACCCATGTACATTAAAAAAATACAACTAAGCATAAGCTGTAATTTGTTGTCTTCTATTATTTGCTATTTGTTGGCATGAAAGCATTTGGCAGACAATTACCAAGTACCTGGGAAATCTAAACACTGAAATAAAACAGGAGGCACCAAAGGCTTTAGAAAAATATTTTGGGTGGGAGGAAACTTACATTCATGAAGTCTATCCAAAGGAGTTAGTGTCTATAAATTTAGCAACACACCTTTGACCATTTAGGGATTTTTCCACAGAAACTGAATTTGAAAACTCTGACTTATGAAAACAAGGCTAAAGATTTTTGAAAAATAACATTGTTTCTGACAAAGTGAACATAAATCCAGAAATGTCCAATTTTTTCCTCTTTTGTGCATATGAGCACAAATTTAAACCATGATGACATAGCTCCTAAAAGTTCAGAATAAGTCAATAATATTTACAAAAGACAACCCTAACTTTGTGATTTGATGATGTTGCAAAAGGAAAACACTGTCAGTTCTGGAGAATTTATGTCATTAATCTACAGAATCCTTAAAGAGATATTGATCAAATGCAGTGTTCAGTTTTAAAATTTAGCTGATTCTAGATTATGCTCATGCAAATCACCTACAGCAAATCCTTAGTCTCAAATTGACTTTCCCCTGCCATCTGGTACCTACCAAGGCTCTCTTCAGCCTTTGGTTAATACATGGCAGAAAATGAGGGCTTCTAATTAAATAGAATTAGGAAGAAAACTGTTTCTTCTCCAAAATCAAGTACTATCTTCTAAAGCTAAGAAACCAATTTGATTATTCATATCTCTTCCTCCTATCGGAGTTAAGAATAACAGGTTGACTTAACAGTGTTTCATCAGGCTAAGTTAAAACTAAAAGTCTTGAGAGTATTTACAAAAGACTATAGAATGAACACATAGATATCTGTCACTATTTTACTATACATAATACTACTTTATCACATGTGGGCTGTAATGTACTCCTTTATCCTGGCTTTATCACGAATTTTATTAGTAATTATATTATGACCCTAGTTATCTCAATTATGCTCTGGTAGTAATTAAGTGATGAAACTCGAAAATTTTAAGTGAAGCTTTAGTGCATTAAAATGCACTAAATATAATTTATGCACTAAACATAACTTAAAATGTCCAATATAAATTTCTTTATATTTTATATTACTTAACTGAACTCTATACCTTGTAACAGACCAATTTTTTAGTAACTAGGTATATGTTTTGCAGCCAGTTTGCTCTGGTGGATTCCCAGGGACCCACTGTCACTCACATGAGGCCTATGCTACAGTATTTTTCTATGGTCAGTGATAGTACCACTTTGAAGTTTTTTCAAGCCAAATTATCTTGGCTGCATTCTATTACCTGTGACAATTTATCATTTATTGATTCCCATGAAGAAGTGAAAGATCTTGACCCTAGCAATTTAAATTCCTCAGCACCCATCCAGGTTGATAGAGGGTGACAATTCTTGGACAGGTTAGATTTTTGGTTGGTGCTGATCTCTGAGGAAAGGCATTTAAAGCCATAATTCCCCCCCAAATGTATCCTCCATCAAAGGATAAGGGGCACCTACTGGGATGGGGCCCTCTCAAGACATATGTTGAGTCATCTTTTTTTTTTTTTTTGAGAGAGAGATTCTCCCAGGGCGTATGTGTACCAGGGTTCCCAGCTGCACTGCCCCTGGAGCTTCTGGAGTGCATGAGAATTAACCTTCCTCATACCCCAGTGAAAAGAAGTTCAGTTTGTGTCTGGATGGTGACATGAGACTCTACTTTGAGTCTATTCAGGCCTAAGTGGCTTATTTAAGGCAGCTCTCCACAAGATCCAGGTGAACTAAGGTAAAAACTCAGGGTCATTTTGGCTCCTCTGCACACCTGTAACACTCAGGAGCTTTGGGGAAACACACACTGGTCAAAGATTTTGTTGTTTCTGGGTTCACTGGCTCCTACTTCATAAAACAGCA